ACACACACACACACACACACACACACACACACACACACACACACACATCGGATCCCACGCTGCTCGCACCTGCCCCCACGCGCGCTGGGCACACAGCCTCCTGCTGCGGCGGTCACTCACCTTCGGCGCGAGAGCGGATCTCGGACACCGTCCTCCGCATGGTGGGCATCTCGACGGCCCCTGCAGGTGGGTCTCGGGCGGGGAGCCTGCACCTGTCACGGCGCCGCGCGGGCGGGAGGACTGGCTGCGCCGCGCCGAGGGCTCAGCTGCCGCGGGACCGCGCCTCCCACCCAGGGTAGCGTCGCCACCGGCAGCGGCCAGGGCACTCCGGCGGGAGGGGGAAGGCGGCGAAGGAGCGGCGACCGCAGAGCCGCCTCGGTCTCCCTGCGGCGGCGGAGGGGCGGGCCCGAGGGGCGGAGCCGGGGGCGGTGCCGGGGTCGGGGTCTGCCGGGAGCGCGCTCACTCGCTGTTCTCCTGGAACGGGGGCGGGGACAGGCGCGCCGGGCCTCCGGGCCCAGCCCAGTCCGGACCGTACCATCCACGGGGAGGGGACGTCGATCTAGCATTCTCGGCCTTTCGGCCCACCTCGGCCCACCTCAGCCCTCCTTAGGGTCAGTACGAGTGTCCCAAGTCTTAATGAGAGAGGAAGAGCTACCCTAGTTTCTGAAAGCTCCATCGACCCTCTGTGCTGCAGTGCAATGGAACCGCCCGTCCTTAGCGCCTGGGTGCTGGGTTCGGTGTGGGCAAGCTGAGTCTAGGGATCTGAGAGCGTGTAGGTGACGTCTGTGCTGGTGTGGGAGACACTGCGATCGCCGCCTGGGTGGAATCCTAGCCGATCTTAACTCCCAGCCTGACTCCTGGCCTGAGCTGCACTTGATCCGTCGCTAGTAGCAGGCTGTGAGACCTGAAGCTGTGAGAGCAGCTCCTCTTCTTGTCATTGAAGCTTAAAGCCACGCAACCCCTGTGGGTTTGAACCCCCACTTCCCACCAGTTCCGAAACTGCAGCCAAGCCAACTGTTGACTGCGTGGTTAACCAAGCAATTCTGTTTGTGGTTTCTGTTCCAGAAAGTTCACTTCAGTAGTTTATTCTCAAAGCCTATTGGGGAGTTGGTATAAAATCCATACAAATGTTAATTACTAGTCCTTATATCAAAGACTGGAGGTCGACTTCAGTACCTTTTATTTTGTGTAGTAAAACCCATTCTAAAAAGTCGAAATAAATGCAGTGTTAATTTGTTTCCGATTTCACCCGCGAGATAGGACGAGGGAAGCTTTGTGTCTAGGAAGCTCCTGAGCTGGGAAAGAAGAAAATATAACCAGGTAAAAGCAACTGGCTTCTTCCCTTTTCGTGTATTGTTCTTCCGGGCACCTAGTGGGGGGGTGGGGGGGAGGGCATTTGTGTTCCTTTCAGACCCGGAAGGGAGTGGTGAGTTTAACCAGAGAGAGGGGTAATTCTAACTGGAGCATAAGGAAAAAAGATAGATAGATAGATAGATAGATAGATAGATAGATAGATAGATAGATAGATAGATAGATAAGCATCTTCTCTCCATTTGTGGTACTTCCTCTACTTCCGGGCAGCTCACACTAATCAGAGCTCTGCCTCACATCAATACCCAGGAGACCAATACATATGTATGCCTCACTCATCTCTTATTCAGAGGCCGGGATCAGAACAAAGAAAACATTTTTTTTTTTTTCCAGTGTTCTTAGAATCTTTCAGGTTAAAACAGACTCAAATGAAAATATGTCTGTGCAAGTGATGGACATAAATTAAAACTACAGTCTGTGGAGAGAAAGAAAACGAATACAGCCTTATCAAGACTGTCATCACTGGCCAGTTCTGCTCTGAAGCTCCACAATCTCCTGAGGGAAAAGTGGGCTTCCTCTTGATTGATATAAATGAATCTGAAACAAAGTAAATGACTAAGAGCAGGAGGAAAATGAAATCAGCTTTAAAAGTAAGCAAACAAACAGAGGGTAAGTAGTGGTTTTTAAATTAACATTTTGAAGGAGATTTTTATGAAGCCATTGCATAGCAAAATGACCTGTTTGATTCATGAGCAATCTCCTTTTTGGTTCCTATGAGCTCTTCAATGAGGTTCACTTTTGCTTACTTATTGATAATAACTATCTACACAGAGTTCTGAGGTTACCTGTTTTCTACAGAGCCATTTGATATGTGTGTATTAGCCAAGTTGACAGCCTAGGTCATTCGTACAGGAAATGAAAACAGTTTCTCATACAGACAAGACAGCAAAGATGTGGGCTGTGCTTCCCCTGGCTCTTTCCCACATGTTCCTTTCACAGAATCTGTATCAGCAGGAGTATCCTAACTTCCTCATTTCTGAAAATCTGCTCCTTCGTGATTGCTAGAAAGTCATCCATTTTTTTATGGTTCAGAACTGTAAATCGAGGTTGAGAATTGCACTAATCTGTCTCTGCTTGGTTTCAGAGTTTGGGGATCTTCTCACCTTCCTTTGTGTGAGATATGCATCCTGCCGGTCCCTGGCAGGGAACTCTGGTTCTAGCAATGTGACCTTGTTATAGAATCTGCAGTTGAACTCAGATGTCAGCAAGTCATTTGAAGACTTTCAGGTCCTGTCACTACCTTGCCTGCTGACGGGCTTAGAAGAAAGCAGGTTATTAAAGGACAGCTGCCCTTCCGATCGCTTTTCATCATTGGGCAGAAAATATATATTAAAGGCAATGTAGGACCTGGGCAAGAGTGCCAGGCTTTGAAGGCACTTGGGGAAAGCCAGCTAGCAATGCAAGATGTCCGACACCTCATTCCAGCAGACAGGAGGCAACAAATACAGACTCTGAGAGAAGGGAAGATTTCAGGATCAGGGATGACCGTTTTTTTGAGCTAGGCCTTGAGTAAGGCCTAAGTTTATAGAAATGACTGAGAGACCTGCTGTCAAGTAAGACCTTAACTCTATAATAAGTAGTCAAACAAAAAGATTGTCTAGAGAAGGATAAAGTGACAGACCAGAGCAAACCTGGTCTATAACAAAGCTGCTCATTGAGAACGCATAACAAACAGGTTACAGAGTCTTAAGTGTCAGTCTAAGGACAACTTTTAAAAAACTTTTTATTGATTTATTTTTGTGAGTTTCACATCATTCGACCTGGTCCCACTCATCTCTCCATCGCCCTCATGTCTGCCCTTCACACCTTCATTCTCCCCTCAAAATAAAATACACACAAATATCATCATCATCAATAACAAAAAGCATAAAAAATACCTCATCATGAAAGCTGTAATATGTAACAGTGTGTCCTACAGTATAACCCTCTGTTCACACGTTTTCACTTGCCAATATTCATTGCAATGAGTCATTGGTCAGGTTCAAGGTCTTTGGCTTCTGTAAGACCATCAATATTGGATACTCACCAGACTCCTCCTGCTTATCCTTTTGCTGCCCCGTGTTGTGGAGATCCTGCAGCTTTGGAAGAGCAGGTCTGGCTTTTTCACATGTCCCAATTATTTGCAGATGATATAGATTTTTGGGGTGGGCCAATTCAGAGCTTTGATTCTGGGCCTGGGTGGTCGCTGAGCTGGTCAGCCTCCTGGCTCTCCCTTATCTGCACCACCAGGGTGAGCTGTCCTGCACTGCTCCAGCTAGGCCACCCAAAGCCACTACTGGGAGGGGGCAGGGTCAGCTTTCCTGTGCTCATGCCCTCTGGACAGCTTACCCATATACCACCCACACCTTTAGAACCAGCTCCACTGGGTGCCAGAGCCTGCCTGCAGAGTCGAACAGTACCTGAATAGGGAGTGAGGATTAAAATAATTAAATCACACTACACATGGGAGCGGCTTGAGAGGGTTGTCAGTAAGGCTGCGACATGGGTTTATTCCACGATTCGTTATTTTATAGGCAAAGAAAAACAAGTCACATCAATACAAAAAGAAAAGCTCATGGAACTGCCGAGCTTCTTTTCTAAAACTGCTTCCCTATAGCAGATATAGCCCAAGGTCACACAAACAAGCTTTAAGGAACTTGGAACAAGGTTTAAGAAACTTGGTGAAACTTCCTCCTTTCTCTGTCTCAAGGTGAAGGCCAGGGTGAAAACACGTTTTTTCAATAAATAACAAAGCAGCTTGACAAACAAGAAGCTCTCCACAACTGTGCTGTCCAGTCAAGGTGCCAGGGCCCATGTTCCCAAGTGTTTCAATCTGTAAGAAGCTGGGACGGCTGTCCTGCTTTCACACCCCTGGGTTGGCTCACCTGAGTCTTTGTCATCAGGGCCAGCTCCACAGTGTTGCCCAAGTGAGGTACAAGGCCTGCTCTCCTAAGTGCTACAGCTTGTGAGGGGGCAGGGTCAGCTCACCCACTCTCATGACTTCTGTGTCAGCTCTCCTTACTGTCTCAAATGGCAAGAGGTGAGGGGGCAGAGGGCATCTCCCCCTGTCCAGGGCATCCCACAGCAAACCAGTTGTGGGCTCATCTCTCCCTCATCCATGCCCTTGGTGTTGGCTCATCTGCACCCCTGTCACTAGGGTCAGCTCTATTGTGCTGCTCAGGTGAGGTGCAGTGCTCCCTCCCCAGCCAGTGAGGGGCAGGGCCAGTTCTCCTGCTCATGACACTGGGGGCTGCAGCAGCTCTCCTGACTGCCAAAGGGGATGAGGGGTAAAGGTGGAGGAAGGCACCACACCCACACCACTTCAGGGCAGATGAGTGGCAGGGCCAGCTCTCCCGAGTCTTGTAACTGGTGGGGGCCAGGGATAGCTCTCCCAAGCTCATTACCCTGAGGGCAGCTTTACTGACTGCTGGAGGTGTTGAGGACCAGGAGAGGGGGCGTCACTTCTGTGCCTGTGCCACCGCACGGTAAGTGGTTGATGGGGCCCGCTCACCCACACTCCTGCCACCAGGGACATTCCCATGATCTGTAGTGGTAATATGAGCCATGGACATCAACATGTACAAATGCTGTGAGGTTGCCACTGACTCAGACATGGCCTTCAGTGGCAGCTCAGGCTGGGTGGGCCCTCACAGTGGCCACAGGTGACGGGGTTTGCCACTCACAGCAGGCTACTCCTTTCTACCCTGAAGTCTTCCATGCCATCTCTCTTTATAATGCTCCACTTCCCTTTTCCTCCCATCTGACCAGCACATACTCACACACTGTGGTGACTCCCGCTGCAGGCTGGCCAGGCAGCTGGTGGGCACCTGAGTGACATTTCCATTTGTGCATATGGCAAAGCTGGTGTCTATGGCACTCTTGTTCTGTGTGCTGTCTGTGGATGGCATGACAGGTCACAGATCTCTGTTTTCCTTCTCCCATGCTGCCCTTCCTGGATTGGATTTAATCTGATTTCTGTGAGTCCTAGGCATAAGACAGCTTTGACCATCAAGCTAGGATGAATGAAGGACTGCCGTTTGCTCTATC